TGACCTTTTTATGACTTTATTTTTATTTTTTAGCAATATCTGTTTCTTAAATTAATTATTGTTTTTTAATGAATTTGAAACTGCGATTCGCCGTCGATGAAATGTCATTAAACATAATAACAAATTATAAAACCTCCGTATATTTTGATTTTAAAAAGTCTATGTCAACAAGACAGATTATATATTATGCTTACTTCTCTCTTGTCTATATCACATCAAACACCGTTTTTATATAGACAGAGACAAGAATTAATGAAATATAGCTGTAACTGAAGGAAAAATAAACGAGTGTAGCTGCAATATGATACAAAATTAAACATAGCTGCGATATAAAGATAAAATCGAACTGGAATATAAGAAAAAAATGGCGTATGAACATCTAACAGTAATGTAATGAAATGTAAACAAAATCTAGCTTCAGTATATAAAAAAAAAAGAATAAACAAAAGGAGTTGTCGCGATAGAGATAGATAACCCAAACCAAAAAACAAACAAACAAACAAACAAACAAACGTGAACGAAATGAAATATAAAGTAAGTAAACTCTTCATACAACGTAGAGTCTTATTCTGTACAGCACACAGGGGGGGGGGTTGGTTTTAGTTTAGGGTGACTTGGCGTCTTCGTAATCCTGGTCCATCTCCCCCACTTTGGCAAGGTACTCGAGCGTGGCCACGACTTGCCACAGCTCATCCATGTGGGTGAAGTTGTCGATCTGCTCGAAGTAGGCTATGACGGTGGCGACGGCGGTGCGGGAGTCACACAGACTGATGACGGGCGGCGCCGTGATGTCCAGGTCGCAGCCCTCCGCCTTGTACGTATACCTGAAACACGCGGAGGGTGAGGTGGTGGAAGCGGTTGGGAGGGGGTGGAGGGGGAGGGTGGAGGGGCGTGGAGGTGAAGGGGTGGAGGGTGGAGGGGCGTGGAGGGGAGGCGTGGAGGGTGGAGGGGGTGGAGGGTGGAGGGGTGGGGGTAGAGGGGGAGGGCAGTTGGGAGGGGGTGGAGGGTTGAGGGTAGAGGGGGTGGAGGTGGAGGGTGCAGTTGGAGGGGTGGAGGGTTGAGGGGGTAGAGGGGGTGGAGGGGGAGGGGGTGGAGGGTGGAGGGGTGGAGGGTAGAGGGGGAGGAGAGGGGTGGAGGGTGGAGGGGTGGAGGGTAGAGGGGGTGGAGGGTGGAGGGTAGAGGGGCGTGGGTGCCTCGCGGGTGAATGAAGTATGTGAGATCATCACGTCTAAAAGCAAAAATGATCGACAGTTAAATCATATTCTTGAAATAAATGCACTGGAAGACTACCCGTCGCTGTTCTTAAAATGATTCTCTCGATATTCTAAGCCTTTTACGACTATCTTTTTTCACTTAATGTAAAACGGTAATTGTCTTATATGTGCACATTATATTATTGCTCACTTAAGCTTAAAAAATTCTAGAAATCAGTAAAATATCCAAAATAACTGATGTATTGCCATCACCAATCTCATAAAGACACACAAAAGGCACATCAAACCTCATACACACATATCATGAAACAAAATCCCCAGGCGAGGGGTATGTGCAACGCTATTACCAATACACAAAAGGTAATACATCGTTTTAATTCAGGTATAGATGATAGTTTTATACAGTATATACATGTGTATGTGTATGTGTATGTGTGTGTGTATGTGTGTGTGTATGTGTGTGTATGTGTGTATGTGTGTGTATGTGTGTGTGTGTGTGTGTGTGTGTGTGTGTGTGTGTGTGTGTGTGTGTGTGTGTATGTGTGTGTGTGTGTGTGTGTGTGTGTGTGTGTGTGTGTGTGTGTGTGTGGTGTGTGTGTGTGTGTGTGTGTGTGTGTGTGTGTGTGTGTGTGTGTGTGTGTGTGTGTGTGTGTGTGTGTGTGTGTGTGTGTGTGTGTGTGCAGGCAAAGAGAAAGAGACAGGCAGTCAGACAGACACACGGCACAGTACAAAAGAAGGGAAAAGGAGAAACGGGGAGAGAATCAAGCGAGTGGAAAAGCGAAAGTGGGCGAAAGAACCAGATACAGGGGCTGTGTTTTCCTTCCCTTGCACATTTCAGGTCACGTAGATCCTAATGAGATGTAAGCTCATTTCCTTCCCTCTGGGAGACGCGAAAAACAGATCCCTGCCTTCATGGTGAAAATAGATTCGTCTTCCTAAACCTTTGTTTGACTTTTTTTTTTTTTTTTTTTTTGATTCAACGAAATGACGTGACGTTTATGAAAGTTTATTTGGGATTCATTCTTTTATTCCGAGAAATGTGGATAAAAGGTATTAGGAAAAAATATCCTGAGTGGGAAGGATTCTAAAATATTTTCCTGTTGATTTCTCAGAGGACGCGTTTTAATTAAAATCGAGAAAATCTATTTTTTTTTTGCGGACAGCTGAAGAAACACATTTCCACTTTGTTTCTCCAGATTCAGCCGGGAAAGACCGTATAATTATTCCCAAAACACACACACAGACACACACACACACACACACACACACACACACACACACACACACACACACACACACACACACACACACACACACACACACACACACACACACAACCACACACCCACACCCACAGACTTGCATTCAGCTTCGCAAAAGCGCAAGGCAAGTCATCAGACCGACACCAATTATGGAAATACAGGAGAGCTGCTTATTAAACCACTGGCCATGAATCTCCTAAAACTTCACCATAGTTCATTTTGAAAGAAAAACAATGGTAAAAAATGTAAAAAGACAAAAACAGAATGAATTCAAGACCAAGGCGGTATAGCTGATGCATCGCTGGGTGCTTTCGGGGAGAGGGAGAGGGAGAGAGAGAGAGAGAGAGAGAGAGAGAGAGAGAGAGAGAGAGAGAGAAGAGAGAGAGAGAGAGAGAGAGAGAGAGAGAGAGAGAGAGAGAGAGAGAGAGAGAGAGAGAGAGAGAGAGAGAGAGAGAGAGAGAGAGAGAGAGAGAGAGAGAGAGAGAGAGAGAGAGAGAGAGAGAGGAGAGAGAGAGAGAGAGAAGAGAGAAAGCGTGCGCAGAAAACAGCATTTCCCGAGAGCGGACAATACCTAGGGAAAGTCACAACACACGAAAGCTAATTAATCGGATATAAAATAACTAAAGTAATTAAAACCAAAGTCATTACATTAAAGTAGGTGAGACCATCACATCTAAAAGCAAAAATGAGCGACAGTCAAGTCATATTCTTGAAATAAACTGAAACTCAGCATCGTTCAAGAGTCAAAGAAGCCGTTTATGAACCGGGAGGAAAGTCTCAAAAAGAGAGAGAGAGAAACGGAGAAAAAAAAAATCAAAATTCAGCTGGTAAAGGATATTGCAAAACCTTTAGGACATCACACTAGAAATTTTGCAAACTTGGCTGAAATGGAGACTTAGTAAAAGAAGGAGAGAGAGAGAGAGAGAGAGAGAGAGAGAGAGAGAGAGAGAGAGAGAGAGAGAGAGAGAGAGAGAGAGAGAGAGAGAGAGAGAGAGAGAGAGAGACAGAGACAGAGACAGAGACAGAGACAGAGACAGAGACAGAGATAGAAACAGACAGAGAGTGAAAAGAGAGAAGAGAGAGAGAGAGAGAAACTAATTTGATCAGCATAATTAAAAGATACAGAGGTAGCACACATACACACTATTAAGTAAACTGTCTATGAAAACAGACACTGTACAGTATATACGTGTGTAACATTCTCGTCTCCCTCCATTTGTAGAAATTTTCAATAAAGTACTTATTACTACCATGCACTTTTACCAATCCATCTTTGCGAACTTCATGCACTGAAAGATCTGTAAAGGATTTCGAAGTGTGTGTATTATATAGAAAATAAAGGAGGGACTCGAACCCAGGCACTCTAGGTAACAGCCGAAGAGGAGGGAGCTAAACCACAAGGCCATAATTGGTCGTTGTCTTTAGTGGAGCTGTTGTCTAAAGGGACCGGGTTCGAGTTAATGTCAAGTTGTTATTTACATTTTTTTATTTGTCTTAACCGGTTTTTGTGGAAAGATGATGGATATGTAGATGATAAGTATGAAATAAAGAGTATGGAAAATCTATGAAATGCACCATCACGCACTCAGACACAAGATCTTTTGTTACAATAGACGATAAAAGGAAGGCATGCTTTAGTTCCGGTAAAGGTTATCATTTATATACATAGTTTAATCAAGAAATACACTCTTATCTTCTCGTCAGCAGAAGAAAGAGGTAAGTTTATATCAGGGATCTACCGTTTATTGATGCTCATCTAGTATGTGGAGCATCAGGTTTCTCGAAGCTTTTTATCAAGCCATTTACATCTTGCAAAATACGATAAAAAACTGACGTCTCGTTGGAAACACTGTCCGGCGAGTCAGTGCCTTCCGGATCCTGATTTTTGCGGTCCTTCTTCTTCTTCTTTTGCCCCTTCTTGTTTTTGTTTTTCTTATTTTTCTTTCGGTCTTTCTTCTTCTTTTTCCGCTCCTTCTTGGATTCCTCCTCGTCCGGAGTCTTCGTCGTTTCGGTTTCCATCCCGGGCTCCGTCGGCTCCACGGTGTCGAAAGGCTCCGCGGCGTCTGTGGGGTAAGTGGCTTCGGTGGGCTCGACAGGGTATGGGTAAGCGGGCTCGGTGGGTTCTGTTGGGTATGGGTAAGCGGGCTCGGTGGGGTAAGTGGGTTCAGTAGGTTCTGTTGGGTAAGGGTAAGCGGGTTCGGTGGGTTCTGCAGGGTAAGTAGGGTAAGTGGGTTCAACGGGGTAAGTGGGCTGGATTTGCCACGGGTCCGTCGGCTCCTCAGCCTCCCGCGGGTCGCCCTCCTCCGGTGCTGTCGTGGCCTCCTCCTCGGGCTCCGGAGTCGTGGTCCTTCCCATCCCGACCCGACCTCTGCCTCTCGGCCTCCAGGGAACCCGCGGCTGCCCGGCTGCCGAAGGGTCCTCGGTCCGGTGGCGAGGACGGGGTGCAGCGGCCGCCCGGGACCCCGCCGAGAGGGCAGCCGGAACCTCGCCACGTTGGACACGGGGCTGTGGAGGGCACGTGTTAGGGGTCAGGAGCAATGGGGATAGGAAACGATTCCCTGGGGATTTTCCTCTGAAGGAGTATATACAGTACCTCATGAATCAATTTACAAACATCGAAACAACCAAAGATGATAAAACTGACAAATGAAAATCGTTGACATAAAAACACGTCAAGAGTTTTCATTGCGCTTCTTGCCTCTTGTTCCCGTAGTCATCCACGGCTCTCAAGGCCACGAAGTACTGGTTGCTTCTTCTGGATCGCCTCTCGACGCTGCTCTGGATCGCGAGTTGGACGCTCACCACCTTCCCGGCGTCTTGGAAAACGTTGGCCTCCTTCAAGACGTCGGTCACATCCATGAGCGTGACGTTGGGGGCGTAGTCGAACATCCTCTCGTTGAGATCGCGGCGGTTGTCACTGAGGCGCATGATGTACCCCGAGACTGCGCAAGAAAGAGAACAGTGAGAACAAAAGGAAACCGAGGCATGAAAGAGCGTAAATAATATAAAGATGCTGTTACAATTAGGTCCTCTGTACATGGCAATACATCTTGTAATAACATAATTCACATCATCTTTCTTCTCCTCCTCATCCGATCTTTCCTTCACCAGCGACGCCACGGGAGCTACCGCATAAAAGGGCCTCGCATCCTCCCACCAATGACCTCACCTTTCCCAGCATCCAGGTCATCTCCCGGAGCCGTCCAAGCGAGTGTGATCCGGTCTCCTGCAACGGACGTGACGCGCAGGTCCCTCACGGCCGCGGGAGGGAAGGCGTCCGTGTCCTTGCCGGGGATGTCGATCACCTGTAGGAGGACAGAAGGGGGACGTCGCGGTGTATTGGAACTCGGTTGGGTCTGTTTTCTAATTCTTTCAGTTTTATTCTTTTAATTCATGGAAATCAAAGGGTTGGACTTGCACCAAAACAGCTGCTTAGACAAATATTTTATCGATATCTATGTCTCTCTGTCTATCAATTTATCTATCTGTCTATATCTATCTATCTATATCTATATATATATATGTATATATATATATATACATATATATATATATATATATATATATATTATATATATATATATATATATATATATCACATTTCTCTATATATACATATACTATCTATCTATCTATATATCGTATATATATATATGTAATATAATGTACATATATATATATATATATATATATATATATATATATATATATATATATACGCACACACACAAAACACACATAATATAAATCGTGACCATTAAGTCGAGAGGAAGACACGCGAACGAGGCCTAATTAATGACGTTCCTATTTTTGATCATTTGCCAGCACGAGAGAGACGACCCCCCCCCCCCCCCCGACCCCCTGCCCTCCACACCACCATATTCCTCGCTTCGACGAATGAGAAGCGACTGTGCATTCGGTTTCTTTTGCAGCACTGTTTCTCTGGGTCTGAAAATGTTCTGGTATTCAGTAACTTTCTCTCTCTCTCTTCTCTGTCTGTCTCTGTCTGTCTCTGTCTCTGTCTCTGTCTCTGTCTCTGTCTCTGTCTCTGTCTCTGTCTCTGTCTCTGTCTCTGTCTCTGTCTCTCTCTGTCTCTGTCTCTGTCTCTCTCTGTCTCTCTCTCTCTCTCTCTCTCTCTCTCTCTCTCTCTCTCTCTCTCTCTCTCTCTCTCTCTCTCTCTCTCTCTCTCTCTCAACGAAAGGAATGGAGAGAAGAATCAAAATAAATGTCTTCCTAAAAAAGGTTTGTTCACAGATAAAATTGGCTGACACTAGGAAAATAATGAGACTGAATTAGGAGCACACACACATACACACATACACATACACACACACGCACACACACAAAACACACACACACACACACACACATACATACATACATGCAAACATTTACACACACATTGATATTCCAATTTATTAACTATACCTACCTGTACATACTAAGAACTAAAGATAAACATATAATATTCCCCCATTCTGAGTCACATATCCCATCAAAATTGGAACCTTGAGTGGCACTCGATGGCACTCACCTGCACCGAGCCTGCCGCAGACACCCGGGTGAATCCTCCTGTGGCCAAGGCGTTGCTGGGGTCAAGTGGCACCTGACTTCCGCAACAGCGAGGGGGCAGCAGAGGCAGAGTGGCCTGGAAGGGAGAGACAGGGTGGGTTATTAGGTCGGATATGTATCGTTACTATTGCTAGTAATAGTAACGAAGATAGTAATGGTGGTTATGATGTTAGCGCTGCCGACTAATACGATGTCAACAATACACGTCCGTCTTCTCAAGGTCGATACGGAAGTGTATTGTTGACAATGATAATAAAGATAGAAGTTAATAAAAATAATAATAAAGATAGAGGTGCATTTATCATTATTGTTATTGAAACTATCCACGTGGTTATTTATTGATATTGCTTTTGACTTTATTTTTCATTTTGTATTTAATTGGATGGAGAATTTTTTTTTTTTGTAACGCACACACGTATATATGTATATATGTGTGTGCATATATATATATATATATATATATATATATATATATATATATATATATATATATATATATATATATATACATATGCATGTATGTATATATGTATGTATGTATCTATGCATGTATGTACGTGTGTGTGTATGTATGTATTTAATTGTATGTGTGTGTGTGAACTTATGAATGCATGCATATGAGTGTATATGTATGTATTCATGATTGTATATAGCATTATTTTGGAGTCTGAATATGTGTGGGTATGTACGTATACAATCAGTAAACTGTATTGAATTACCCTTCAGCCATTTCAATAAATGGAAAATTAACTGATAGGCCACTTGTATATATTTATTATGTAGATGACCTAACCACTCATAACTGCATCAATAAAATATTTATGATCATTTTTGGAATCATGTAAAAAAGCGTGCCCCCGTGAGTGTGTGTGTGTGTGTGGGTGTAGAATTATTTAATCAGGCATGAGTGTTGTATTGTGTGTGTGTGGGGGGGGGTGCGTGCGTGCGCGTGTTATGTGTTATTGTTAGAGTATGAGTGTTCACCCGACGCACAAGTTAGCCTGTGAGGGTGATATGGACAACTTAGCGATCTCGTTCCCCGGGGTCCCAATCCCTTCCCCAGCCCCCACCCCTTGTAATGCGGGGCTCCGAGCATAGGGGACGGTCATGTGCCCCGGGGAGCCACGGTAAGACTCGCGGGTTGGGGGTAATCCGACAGTCGCTCTCCATTAGCCCCGATACCCCGTGGGAAATCTCGAGAAAGGCGACGATCAGGCAGGGGGGGGAGGGAGAGGGGGAAAGGGGAGGGGGAAAAGAGGGAGAGAGTATGGAGGAGGAGAGAGACAGGGGAAGGGAAGGAGGGGGAGAGAAGGGGGGGATGGGGGGGGAGGAGAGAGAGAGAAAGGAAGGGGAGGGAGGGGGAAAGGGGAGAGGGTGAAGACGGAAGACAGAGGAAGGGAAGGGGAGAGAGAGAAAGGAGGAGGAGGGAGAGAGGGGAAAGGGAGGGTGGGGAAGAGGGAGAGACAGAGGAATGGAAGGGGGGAGAGAGAAAGGAGGAGGGAGAGAGGGGAGAAGAGGGAAAGATAGAGAAGGGAAGGAGACAGGGGAAGGGAAGGAGAAAGAAAGGAAGGAGGGGGGAGAGAGGGGAAAGAGGAGGGGGAGAAGAGGTTAAGACAGAGGAAGGGAAGGGGGGGAAGAGAGAAAGGAGGAGGGAGAGAGGGGGAAAGGGGAGGGGAGAAGAGGGAGAGACAGGGGAAGGGAAGGAGAGGGGAAAGAAATGCGAGAAAGGGGGAAGGACAAATGAAATACACGTCGAGAGATTGCAAAATGAGTAAAGAGGTAGATACATTTATATATATATATATATATATATATATATATATATATATATATATTATAATATATATAATATATATATATATATACACACACACACACACACACACACACACACACACACACACACACACACACAACACACACACACACACACACACGCACACACACACACACACACACACACACACACACACACCACACACACACACACACACACACACACACACACACACAACACACACACACACACACACACACACACAACACACACACACACACACACACAGATGGTGAGGAATTTCTGGGTTTCCCCTTATTATGGCTAAGATGATTGTTGAAGATCCTCCTAAACTGTAAATATTACTCTTTTGAACTGAATCACAGCAAATGTTTCGATAAACGGTTATATAAATGTATCTGTAAAATAATTCACCTTATAAAATGAATTTCGATAAACGGTTATGTAAATGTGTAAGAATTTATTACAGACTCAATCTTCGATGACTGTCTTGCTTCTTCTTCTTCTCCTTCTTCCTTTTCCTCTTTTGCTTCTTCTCTTCCTCCTTCTCCTTTTTCTTCTTCTTCTCCTCCTCCTCCTCCTTTTCTTCTTCTCTTCTCCTCTCTCTTTCTTCTTCCTTTTCCTCTTCTTCTTCTTCTTCTTCTTCTCTTTCTCCTCCTCCTTCCTCTTTTTTCTCTTTTCTTCTCCTTCTTCTTCATCTCTCTCCTCCTCTTCCTCCTCCTCCTCCTCCTTTTCTTACATCATTTTTTTCTTCTTCTCCTATACTTTAAAGAACACCAAAAGTAGTAAGAAGCATGCAATCATAAGAAAAAATAACTAACCATTTATTTCATTTATCTATTTTTAGTTATTATTATTATTTTTTTTTTTTTTTGGGGGGGTGAATGAATATGGAAATATAATACCTGATTCCATCTAAAACCAATGAAATACTTATAGATACATACACAAACGCTGGCAAAAAAACATCCACACAGATACACCCAAAAAGTCACACGATCAAATACACACACAGACTGAGTATTTTATTCCTTAAATCAAAAGCATATCCAGTCCCTATCTTTCCATATATCTGTATGATCCGAATATAATCCCGATATACTTTCTTATTATTATTAACCAGGCACAAACGAAAAGAAAATTGCACAGAAGCAAATACCCTGTCATGCCCTGCACATACCCTGTATACTGTCATACCCTGTCATGTCCGCATATCCTGCCATACCCTGCATACCCTGTCATAACCTGTCATATCCTGCCATCCCTGCACATGCCCTGTCATGCCCTGTCATGCCCTGCCATACCCTGTCATACCCTATCATACCCTGTCATACCTTGCACATACCCTGATCGAGCATATCCCCATCAAAAAAAAAAAAAAAAAACTTCTTATTAATAATAATAATAATAATAATTAAAAAAAACGAAAAGAAAATGACACATACCCTGTCCTCTCCTTCGCCGCCCACCCCGGGAGCAAGGGGGCGGTGACCCCTGCCCATGCCGTCAGCGCGCCCACCAGCGCCGCCACGACCCCTGACACCAGATTGGCCGCTTGGATCAGGCGTGTCAGTTGTGTCAGGCGTCGTACTTTCGGTGTCATGGGCTGTTTCTTCCTTCGCTTCGGTCTCGTCATCGGTGTCATATGGGTCACTCGTGTCGTATGGATCTCTGGTGTCATAGGGATCCCTTGTGCCATATGGGTCGCTTGTTTCTTCATCTCCAGTGTCATGTGGATCCGTTGTGTCATAAGGGTCCCTCCTTTCTTCCTCTCGTGTGTCATACGGGTCTCTAGTGTCATATGGTCGCTTGTGTCATAAGGTCTCTCCTGTGTCATAAGGATCTCTTGTGTCATATGGGTCCCTCCTTTCTTCCTCTCTAGTGTCATAAGGATCTCTTGTGTCATATGGGTCCCTCCTTTCTTCCTCTCTTGTGTCATAAGGATCTCTTGTGTCATATGGGTCCCTCCTTTCTTCCTCTCTAGTGTCATAAGGATCTCTTGTGTCATAAGGATCTCTTGTGTCATATGGGTCCCTCCTTTCTTCCTCTCTAGTGTCATAAGGATCTCTTGTGTCATATGGGTCCCTCCTTTCTTCCTCTCTAGTGTCATAAGGATCCCTTGTGTCATAAGGAATAAGGATCTCTTGTGTCTTGTGTCATAAGGATCATACCTCCTTTCTTCCTCTCTTGTGTCATAAGGATCCCTCCTTTCTTCCTCTCTAGTGTCATAAGGATCCCTTGTGTCATAAGGATCTCTTGTGTCATATGGGTCCCTCCTTTCTTCTTCTCTTGTGTCATATGGGTCCTCCTGTGTCATAAGGGTCTCTAGTGTCATAAGGATCTCTAGTGTCATATGGGTCCCTCCTTTCTTCCTCTCTAGTGTCATAAGGATCTCTCCCTCCTTTCTTCCTCTCTTGTGTCATAAGGATCTCTCGAATCATATGGATCTCTTGTTTCTTCATCTCCAGTGTCATATGGATCCGTTGTGTCATAAGGATCTCTGGTGCCATATGGATCCCGTGTTTCTTCTTCCTCAGTGTCATACGGATCCCTCCTTTCTTCCTCTCTAGTGTCATAAGGATCCCTGGTGTCATACGGATCTCTAGTGTCATAAGGATCTCTAGTGTCATAAGGATCTCTCGTTTCTTCATCTTCAGTGTCATAAGAATCCGTTTCATCATCCTCAGTGTCATAAGGATCCGTTTCATCATCCTCAGTGTCATATGAGTCCGTTGTGTCATAAGGATCACTTGTGTCGTATGGATCCCGTGTTTCATATTCATCCTCAGTGTCATATGGATCCGTTGTGTCATAAGGATCTCTGGTGCCATATGGATCTCCTGTGTCATATGGATCCCTCGTTTCATGCTCTGTCCTAGTATCATAGGGATCACTGGTGTCATGTTCTTCCCCTGTGTCATACGACTCCGTTGTGTCGTATGCATCGCTTGTGTCATATGGATCCCTAGTTTCGGCTTCTGTTTCTTCCTCCCTTGTCTCGTATTCGTCTCTCGTGTCATAGCTTTCTTCGGTGTCGGTTCGTGTGTCATAGTCTTCTCTTCCTTCCCCTGCGGTCACGGAAAGCCCATCCTCGCCGTGGTCCCTCGTGCGGTTCCTGAATCCCGGACGACCTCTGCCATCAAAGCGGCGTCTGCCACCTGTCCGGTCTAGGACGGCCGTTCGGTTAGCGCCGCCCGGACGACCGGGGCGGAATCTGCCACCGAAACGGCCTGGACCTCTGCCCCCAGGCTGGCCTTGACCTCTGCCCCCAGGCTGGCCTTGACCTCTGCCCCCAGGCTGGCCCTGACCTCGGCCCCCAGGCTGGCCTTGACCTCTGCCCCCAGGCTGGCCCTGACCTCTGCCTCCAGCCTGGCCTTGACCTCTTCCCCCAGCCAAACCAGTCCGGTTAAAGGCTCCAGGACGGAATCTGCCACCAATACGACCTCTGCCACCACCTTGACCTCTGCCACCAGGTGGGCCTCTGCCACCAGGTGGACCACTTCCACCTCCTTGACCTCTGCCACCGGCTTGGCCTCTTCCGCCAGCCTGACCTCTTATCCCAGTTTGATTCCTCGCCCCGGCACGCCCTCTGAAACCAGGGCGGCCTCTGAAACCTGGTCGCCCTCTGGCACCTTCGCGGTCTCTGGCACCGGA